ATTCAATAAATGCAAACAGATGTAGAAAAGGGGACAATCTATGGAGAATCTAACAACATGGTAAGGAGTTTTCTTATTCTTTCTCAGGTAGTATCAGCCCTCACTCCAAAGCTAAGCATAGGCAAAGGGCAGAACTTCTGTGCTTAGCAGAGTAGGTGGTAAGAAAAGGTCTGTTGAGGCTGGGCATGGTGGCTCACGCCTATAATCCCAGCAGACGTTGGGAGGCCGAGGCGAGTGGATCACCTGAGGTCAGAAGTTCGAGACCAGTCTGGCCAACATGGTGAAACCCCGTCTCTACTAAAAATACAAAAATTAGCTGGGTGTGGTGGTGTGTGCCTGTAGTCCCAGCTACTTGGGAGGCTGAGGCAAGAGAATCACTTGAACCCAGGAGGCGGAGGTTGCAGTGAACTGAGTTTGCACCACTGCACTCCAGTCTGGGCAACAGAGCAAGACTCCACCTCAAAAAAAAAGTATATCAATTGCAGTGCATTCAAACACATAAAATTGTGAAAAACTATGAATTCATAATGGTACTAAAAAAACTCACTGACTACATTTAGACAGTGATAGGGAACAATTTTGAAAATTGATAAATAAGGGGAAGGAATCAAGTTTTTATCCTACTTTTCCTATACAAATCATACTTCAGGGTAATCTAATAGTTGATACGTTTTTTTTTAAAAAACATTTTACTCACTAATAAATGAAAAAATAATAGATGAAGAAACCACATATACAAACACACACACGCACACTACATATATATATACACACACACACACACATATACACACAAATAAAATCACCTATGAAAAAATGTTCAGTTTTATCAAAAGTAAATTTAGAAAAATATTGGTATTCTCAATGAAGCCAGAAGCCAGTGGGATGAATTCATTTGAGAGAATGTAACTAATGAAAGATTTCATAAATACTGAAGGTGCAAAATTGAAGCTAAATGTGATTCAAGAATAAACATTAAAATTTATGTGGCAGGAAATCATGTAAAACAAAGAGATGCAAATTAAAACTAGGTATCTTTTTTTTGATATTTTTACCTATAAAATTGGCAAAAAAAAAAAAAAAAATCAAGATAATTGTATCCACTGTGAGGACTGGGGAAATTGGCTTAAATCTCAACTCCATTGTTGACTAGCTGCATGAGCCTGGGGAAGTTATTCCATCTCTTTGAGCCTTGGTTCCTTCATCAATAGAACTGGGATACTGAGTATCCTGGAGCTGAAGATTAAATGAGGCGATACCAGTGAAGCACTTCAATTGTGCTTGCAACACATAGCACTCAATAAGTGTTTGCTATGTGGTTATTCCTATGCATACAGTTTTGTGATTTATGTTCCTATTATGAATAGGATCTCCCTTCATTAATTTTCCTTTTTTTGGCCATCCTTGTCCAGTTTAAATATTCTTATTTTTCTGCCTTTTAAAACAAAGCTAGAAAATTTCCATCTTTTTATTTTTATGTATTTTTTGAGACAGAGTCTCACTCCATCACCAAAGCTGGAGTACAGTGGCCCAATCTCGGCTCATTGCAACTTCCACCTCTCGGGTTCCAGCGATTCTCATGCCTCAGTCTCCCGAGTAGCTGGGATTACAGGCACGCACCACCATGCCCTGCTAATTTTTTTTGTATTTTTAGTAGAGATGGAGTTTCACCATGTTATGTTGGCCAGGCTGGTCTTGAACTCCTGACCTTACGTGATCCGCCCCCCTCAGCCTCCCAAAGTGCTGGGATTACAGTCAATGAGCCACCGTGCCTGGCCAGGGCCTGATGCCTTTCTTAGGGACAAATCTCATAACACCTTTTTGATTTTTTCTATGTAGTTTAGGATCTTCTACTACCATATGACCCAATATTTTAAATTTAAATTTTTTCAGAAAAGTATCTATCTTACCTAAGATTTTCAAATACATTGGCATTAAACTTGTACCTGTTATTTGGTTTTTTGTGTAAAAAAGTCTCGATCCGGTTACGCACCACAACTCATTTCTGATGGTTTGGGCTTTTCTATCCTCTTATCTGAAAATCAGATTTGCCAAAGGTTAGTCTGTAGTTCTGTTTTCCAAAGAATTGGCCTTAGGCTTTATGGATCAATTTTGCTTTCTGTTAACTGTAAATTTTATTAATTTCTGCTTTTATTTTCATTATTCTTTATCTACTTTTTAAAAAATTACTTTGTTTTCTCCTGGCCTCTCACACTAAAGTTTTAGTTCATTTACGTTCAGTCAGTGCTGGTTTTTAATAAGTGGGTTTAAAAGTATAAATTTTTATCCAATTACTGCTTTGATCATATCCACTGAGTTTTGCTATATAGCACTATTTTTATTTCCAAATACCTCAGATCTAATTGCTGCTCAGATTTTTTATCCACAGCCTTTTAGAAGTTTATTTTTAATTTCTTGACTAGCCTGACTAGTTTGTATGTGTCTTTACATTTTGATCAGAAAATGTGGCCTGTATGATTTTAACATTTTTAAATATATTATTACTTTGTAGATTGATTTGATAGTTTTGCCTTTTCCAAAATATCATACAAATTAAATCAGGTGGCATGCCATTGTTTGGAGTCTGGGCTTCTTTCACTTAGTGTAGTGCTTTTGAGATTCACCTGGTTGTGTGTGTCAGTAGTTCATTCTTGTTTATTGCTGAGCAGTACTCAACTATATGCTTATAACTGTTTATCCAGGCACCTACTGATGGACATTTGTGTTATTTCCTGTTTTGGGTGCTTATGAATAAAGCTTCTATAAACATTTGCACAGAGATTTTTGTGCGGGTGTATGTTTTCATTTCTCTTGGGTAAATACTCACTGGGTCACATAGTAAGTGCATGTTTATTCGCTTTCTAAGAACATGCCAACTTGTCTTTCAAAGGAGCTGTATCTTTTTTCTATTCCCACCAGCAATGAATGAGAGTTTCAATTGTTCCACATCCTTGTCAGTAGATGAATTGTCAGAATTTTTCTTTCCCTGGTGATTTTAATAGGCATAAGTGGCAGCTCATAGTGAGTTTAATTTGCATTTCCCTCTTGACTGACAATGTTGAGCATCTTTTCATATATTATCCGCTATGTGTACCTCTTCTTTGGTGGAGGGTCTTGGTAATCTTTTTTGGCTCTTAGCCTGAAGCAAGAGCCCCTCAAATACCAGCTTTGTGCTCTTGCTGGTACCAGGGCATCTGGACTTTTGCTGGCTACATGGCTTTCTTCATGTTCCTAATAATGCTTTGATTGATTCTGTTTTATGTAAAGGTATTTAACACACATGTGATGAATGATTAGAGAACTAATAATGTATCCCTCCGTGTTTCACCTCATGACTCAGTGTACCTTTACCCTTTCTGTCTGATAACATACCTAGGAATTTAATAAAATGTATGAACCCAGCCCAGGAAGGCACTTATCCCTTCTCTCTTCAACTGTCTACTGGTCACCTTCATTTCCCCAGTCTCAGACACTCCAGAAACAAAGGACTCTAGAAGGAAAGAGAGAGAATACACACCCAGCAGACATTTTCCTTCCTCTAACTGCTGAGTTTCCATCACCTCTGTCCTTCCACATCAGTCAAAAGTTGTCAAAGACAAGTGTATCACACGCATTTAATCCATTCTCAGACATGGCTCATCATTATTCACATCACAATTCCTTCCCTCTGTATTGCTACTTTCTGTAATGTTACTTCTCTACCAGAAGCAAGAAACCTCCAATATCAAGTGCCAGGACTATGATATCATTCTGCCATAGGAACATTAATATCCAAATTTTTAATATAAGCATGCATTTAAATATCTACCTGTACACTATTATAATAGCAGCCTTTTGAAAAATAGCATAATGGGCTGGGTGTGGTGGCCCACAGCTGTAATCTCAGCACTTTGGGAGACCAAGGCCATGGGTGGATCACTTCAGCCTAGGAGTTTGAGACTAGCCTGGGCAATATAGGGAGACCCTGTCTGAACAAAAACAACAAATTAGCCAGATATGGTGGCGCACACCTGCAGTCCCAGCTATTTGGGAGGCCGAGGCTGAAGGATTGCTGGAGCCTGGAAGGCAGAGGCTACAGTGAATTGAGATAACACCACTGCACTCCAGCCTGGGTGACAGAGCAAGACCCTGTCTTAAAAAAAAAAAAAAAAAAAAGTATATGTGTGTGTATATGTATGTATAATGGATAATAGAGTACTCAGAATCAAATGGACCCAGTACCACCACTACCTCTATGACCACAGGCAGGTCACCCCAACTTCTCCGTGTCAAATCAGGAAAATAATAGTACCGGGCTTATGGGGTTGCTGGGAGGAATATATATGATAATTCATGTAAAATCCTCACATAGTGCCTGGAATTATTAAATGCTCAACAACTGTTACCAAGTATATTTTTAAAAAGAATAACATGCCGTAAATCCATTATGCCAATATTTTAAATTTTATTTTGTATTTCCTTCCCTTTGTTCACAAAAATTATTTACACGATTACAAGAGAGTGTATATATGATTTTGAATGCTGCTTTATAACTTTCTGTGTTGATACGATAGTTTATTTATTTATTTATTTATTTATTTATTTATCTTGAGACAGGGTCTCACTCTGTCACCCAGGCTGGAGTGTGGTGGTGCAATTATAGATCACGGCTACCTCCGCCTCCTGGGCCTCAAGTGATCAACTCAACTTGGGCACCCAAAGTGCTGGGATTGCAGGCATGAATCACCGCTCCCAGAAGTAGTCTTTATAAGTTTTAGTAGCTCGGCAAGTCCAGTGTTTTACTTTTCTGTATCTCCTTTATCTATTGCTTTATTCCAACTATTGCTTCTAACTTTCATGATTTCCTTTCTATAGCTGCCTTGTCTGCATGTGCCTGCCTTTATTTGTTGCTTTCAAGGTTCTATAAAGAAAATTTCTAAGAGTTAAATAAAATCACCCAGTATCCCATCTCCCAACATTGTCCATCTTTTCTTTCCATATGCATATGCCATTTTCAATAGTTTCAGTGTCAACCATCTTCAGACGGACTGCTCTCTGTCAAGCATCATGAATGGGTCGGGCAGCTTTGACCTTTCACCACCCGCCTCATAACTTCATTGAACCCAAGACTCTACCCTACAGAATGTACTTCTAGATGGATGTTTTTCCGGGCTGGCGTTGTGAGTATTTCAGGATCAGGGTGACAGTACCCCCTACCTTTGATGGCTCCACAATGACCCAAAGGCAGGAATCCCAAACCTTACCCTTAGACATGGTAGCCAGTAATGACCTTTAAACTTAACCTGTATTCTGGTTAAATCTTTTGGCCCCTCATTTCCTGCCCCTCTAAAATGCAAAGCGTAAGCTTGCCATTCATTTTCTGGGATCCTAAGAAGCTATGAGATGCGGGAGCCTATTAGCCTGGCCTCTGGCCTCCCAGGAGAATCGTTACGTGTCCCGCCACTCCCCATCCCCAAGAGCGTCTCTCTTACTCTTTAAATATTTTGGAAAGATTCTTTAAATTTTTTTTTTTTTTTTCTGAGACAGAGTCTTACTCTGTCACCCAGAGCTGGAGTGCAATGGGGCAACCTCAGCCTCCCGGGTTCAAGCAATTCTTCTGCCTCAGCCTCCCAAGTAGCTGGGATTACAGGCTCGCACCACCATGCCAAGCTAATTTTTATATTTTTAATAGAAACGGGTTTCACCACGTTGGCCAGGCTGGTCTCGAACTCCTGACCTCGTGATCCGCCTGCCTCGGCCTCTCAAAGTGCTGAGATTACAGACGTAAGCCACCGTGCCCAGCCAAGATTCTTTAAATCTTAAGAGATACAGGAAGGCTATCAAAACATAGAAAACATCAAATGCTTCAGAAAAAAACATGGTTCACAAGCAGGAGGAATCTGCGTGCTTTGTTATCTGAGACAAGGAAGAATGGGACCAGTGTGAAGACAGCTCTGATACCAACCCACCTGGCCACTCAGTTCCATCGCTCCTCCCAGATTTTTGTTACGATATGCTACAGAGTTAATTGATGGGACATTTGGCCCTCTATTTTCTCATTGAAGAAATGACTAATGACATTAAAATGGGGTGGAACGTGAAGCCAGAGAGCTATGTCTGGGGATTTTACAGCTTTGGTAATCCCCAATATACCAACTATAGCAGATGGACAAAAACAAGGGAGTCTCCCTCCTAACTCTCAGCTGTAAGCCTTCCCCTTGCATTGCACTAGGATACTATAATTTTATCTTAGTCCCTCAGTTGTGCCCTATACATATCTCTCCCAGTACTTTTTTGAGCCTGTTCAAATGATCGGGGCTTTGTTGCTGTTCCACATTAAGAACAAAGCGCCTTTCCCTCATGAGCCTCATTCATTTCAATTGCACTGTAACCACTGACTGTGGTTCCAAGGTGCATGAAAAGCACAATGATATTCCAGGAATATCCTCCTGTACTGCAGCCTCAAGAGACACTCTCGTTTCCTTGTTCTCTGCTGTAATGTTTCTGAGTATTTAACACAATGTGTTTCAATTCACTCCTAATTTTACCCTCCTCTTGGTCGTCCTGCCTTCTAGGTTTCCCCAGCCTGGGAAATCTTTCTCTAATACTATCTTGCCTTGGATGCAGGATGATTTTCCACAGATACCACATTTGCCAGCACACTTAGGGGCCACTCGATAGCAAAGTAGCAGAGCGTTGAGTGAGTTGTTTTTTCTCTTTTTGAGATGGAATCTTGCTCTGTCACCCAGGCGGGAGTGCAGCGGTGCCATCTCGGCTCACTGCAACCTCCGCCTCCCGGGTTCAAGTGATTCTCCTGCTTTAGCCTCCCGAGTAGTTAGGACTATAGGCACATGCCATCATGCTTGGCTAATTTTTTGCATTTTTAGTAGAGACTGGGTTTCACCATGTTAGCCGGGATAGTCTCGAACTCCTGACCTTGTGATCCGCCCGCCTCGGCCTCCCAAAGTGCTGGATTGCAGGCATGAACCATGGCGCCTGGCCTCAGTGAGTTTTTTGTAGGGTCCTCTGGTCTTAAATACTTGGTCTTAAAGTTGGATGCTCACTTGTGGGTGGAGGAGGGGGAACCTGTGATCCGGGCCCCTCTCAGCCCCATGCATGCCTCTGAGTTCAGACAGAACTGGAAGTCAAATGAAGGGGAGGAGGAAAAGCATGGAAAAGCCATTTGGCTGGGGACAGGAGGCATAAAATGTGTTGGAGAGAGGGACAAATCTCATATGAAGGGTTCTAGGCTTCCAGAACCTGAAGGAAACAGTTTCTGAAGATGTTTGGCTTCGAGGAGGATGAGTTCACAGGAAGTCTTTTTTTGGCTGCTCGCTAGATTCTCATTCAAGAATTTACACAATGAGGTTAGAAAAACAGACCTGCCGAATCCATGCTAAACTCTCCCTGGGTTTAGCTGCCTACCTGAAAATAGCAACAGGGGAATGTGGTTTTCTCTGAATCAAGTAACACCGGATCACCAGATGCTGCTGAAGTCACAAACAGGCCCTGTTACTATTAGCAGCGAGATGTAAGCTGAATGCTGGTCAACAGTGATGTTCTGTTTAGTAGGATGCTGAGATGAGGCGATTCTAAGTTTGAGAGGACGCTGGCCTATTATCCTGCAGTGTAGTCATCACCAGACAAAAGTCCATCTCACTGTGGCTCATGAAATATTAATGAAGAGCTAGAATTACTTGCACTGACTTCAACACAAATAGACCAAAAAATAAAATCAAAGCTCTATTTTCCACTACATTTGATACAGAAAGCTAACAGTTTCGATGCTGGTGGATTTTTGTGGAAATTCTACACTTTGCCTCCAGGCAAATCTGTGGGTTTTCAAAATTTTCTGTCTTTTGGTTTTGTTGTCTGACTATTTGGGTTTTATTGTCTGACTATTTTAAGAAAAAGCTGGTCCATTGTTTTCTAGTAGGGGAAGTCAACTGGAAGCTTAATAGTAACAAAAGACTTTTGAATTATAATTACTTCCAGATGGATGCTTACAGATGTCCTCATCTTTTAAAAAACCACTTAAGCATCTTACCATCTGTTTTTCAGTGACTTATCATGGAAATCTTTACACTTTTGTTTATATAGCCATTGCCAAATGTGTAAGCCCCAGGAGGTTTTAAGCCAGTGAAGGCTTTAAGACTATAATAAGAGTGTCTTTCTCTTCTCTTCTGCCATTAGTAAATGAACATCCTATATAACTCAACTTTTACAATGGCCTTTTGGGAAGTATTAGAAAGAAGAGAGTATGATCTGAAGGAAATTAATAAATTATGTATGTTTTTATTTGTTCTTTCCTAACGTCAGCCAACAACGAAGGAGCATTTTTTAAGTACTGATTGAAATCTTTATTAAGAGCTTTGCTTATCCCAGCAAACAGTGGCATTCTCAAGAAAATTGCAGCTGGGGTGCACTCCCAGTGATAACTTAGCCCAGGGCACCTCTGAAAACATTAAACACTTGGGAAAATTTTTGTCTGTGGGGCTGCTTTAGGGACTCTTCAAGTGGCTGAGGAATGTGTCAGGCCATCATTAACGGTTTGCATGAGAATGGCCAGCTTTTTACTGTTTCCCAGCAAGGAACAGGCTCCCTAATGAGAATTTCTTCGTAGTTATTGCAAATTACAGAAAAAGACAGGCAACTTATATCATAGAAAAATCAATGTCGGAAATCTTTGTGGCCGAGCACGGTGGCTCACGCCTGTAATCCCAGCGCTTTGGGAGGCCGAGGCGGAAGGATCACATTAGGTCAGGAGTTCGAGACCAGCCTGGCCAACAGGGCGAAATCCCATCTCTACTAAAAATATAAAAATTTGCCAGGCATGGTGGCAGGCACCTGTAATCCCAGCTACTTGGGAGGGTGAGGCAGGAGAATCGCTTGAACCTGGGAGGCGGAGGTTGCAGTGAGCAGACCACTACACTCCAGCCTGGGTGACAGAGTGAGACTTGGTGAAAAAAAAAGCGAAATTATTATCTCCCCAGACGAAGCTACCCCTTCTTGTTTTTTCTCTCTTGTTAAGCAGTGTTACTATCTCTCCAGTTGTTCAAGAAAACTTGTCATCCTCACCTTCTCCCAATTCTAACTCCTGGCAAAGGCAAAGGCAATCTGCCTCCCAGCATGCCTCTCATGTCTGCCCTGTTCTTCTCCACGTGCTATGGCCCTAGTTAACATCTCAGGTCTGGACAATGATGGAAGTCTCCCTGCCACTCACTCTGCCTCCATTCTCACCTTGGATAAAAGGTAAAATTCTGGTAGGAGCTATGAGAGAGCCACAAATGCCCTTCTTCCCTCTGTGGTCTTTCTGCTCTGCTCCTCCTTCTGAAGCAGCATCTAGTGCTGAGACTTGGTAGGGAGGGACCTGGCTTTAGGATGAGTGTGCTTTTCTTGGGAAATACCTTTCACCGTGGAAGGTGGGGTAGGCAAGGCCCCAAGGGACAGATGCTGCTTGGCTCAGGCTGGGAAGAAGCATGGAGAGTGCTGAGCTATGTAAGTGACATCACCAAGGCTGCAGAGCTGGCAGAGATCCTAGGCAGAAACCAGTTTGCTGTTTGTGCCTTCTTGGGTGCCATCTCCTGTCAGGGACTTAACTGCTGTGGAAGGTGGCTGGCTGGGGTGCAGATATAGCCAGATTAGGATCAAAATTAATTCCGGGACTGCGTGACAAGCATTCCAGGTTAGTCAAAGTTAACAACATTTTTCTAAATTGAGATTTCTTATCCTGCAACAAATGTTGTAAGCCTCATTGTTTGTTCACCATTTTCAGAATTTAAAAAAAATCAATAGTGAAACAGGGCAGTACTTTTTTAATGATTGTAGAACAGTGTCTAGCGTACAGCAGGCACCTAAAATATTATGTGTCCAACAAAATATATAGCTATGTATGTACATATACATCTATCTATACAAGCACACACACGTACCATATTGATAACACAACTGCTTAATAAGTTAACCTGTCCATTTTTATTTAGAGGAAATAAAATTAACTGCCAGAGTATGAACTGATCAATCTGATCTCTCTGTCAAAAATATAAGAATCAATCATTTTGGGCTGGGTGCGGGTGGCTCACACCTGTAATCCCAGCACTTTGGGAGGCTGAGGTGGGCAGATCACTTGAGGTCATAAGTTCGAGCCCAGCCTGGCCAACATGCTGGGTTCATGCCATATCTCACACTGACCCAGCCTCCCTGAGTAAGTCTGACCACTACAAGGCGCACTCAGCCCACCATGCCGCCAGCTATTTTTTTGTATTTTTAGTAGAGATGGGTTCCACCGTGGTAGCCAGGAGGGCTCGATCTCCTGACCTCGTGATCTGCCCGCCTCAGCCCTCCAAAGTGCTGGGATTACAGGGTGAGCCACCGCGCCTGGCCAAAAGCTTATTTTTTTCTTCATTTTCACAGCAGTATCCATAATCATATTGGTCAGTGTAAGAGCCAGTGCAAATTAATTAACAACTATGCCATAGACAGGGAAATGGCATGCACATTCACCACAAAAAAAGAGCAGTAAATAATAAAAAGGAAAGGTGCAAGTGTTG